TCTTAGAGGCCATCTTGAGCCGTCTTGGAGAATTTTCTGTGGACGTTGGGGTGGTTTATGCTGCCTTGTGCGGCCTTTCGGGTGGCCGGCGGGACGGGCCGAAGCCCCAAGGAGAATTCTTTGGGCAAAAATAACCAAAATCAAAAGCGAAAGGGTTCAGCACGCCGGGCACCCCTGTGATGCATCAACAAAGGGCGGCAGATCCAATGGTCTTCGGCCCATTCCGCCACCGTGCCTGGGTTGTGGGTGTGAAGCCTATGGGATATTTGTTGGGATCTCGTGCAAGGCTTCTCGGGGGCCCCTTGGGGCCTCTTGGGGCCTCTTAGGGTTTTCCTTGGAGCCTACTGGGGCGGAAGGCTGAGATGTTCCTTTCCTGTTCGCTCTCTTGTGCCACTTTTCGGGCCGACTTGGGGTCCTCTTGGGCCGAACTTTTCCCAACCGTCCTGTGGAGTTGGGTCCTCGTTTTGAAGAGACGGTCCCCGCGTTCCTCCATCCTCCCTTGCGCTTCACCCACCCAATACAACGTTTCGTGGCCCCGTAGAGCTCCACCGAAGGTCCCAGGGGGACCGCCCACATGCGTCCCCCAAACCCAATTTGGCACATCCCTCACACGTTTCGTGGCCCCATGGGGAGCTCCACCGAAGGCCCCAGTGGGACCGCCCGCATGCGCCCCCCAAACCCAATTTGGCACACCCCTCACACGTTTCGTGGCCCCATAGGGAGCTCCACTGAAGCCCACAGTTTGGACCGCCCGCATGCGTCCCCCACGCCCAGTTCGGCACATCCCTCACACGTTTCGTGGCCCCATGGGGAGCTCCACCGAAGCCCCCGGTGGGACCGCCCGCATGCGTCCCCCAAGCTCAATTCGGCACACCTCTCATACGTTTCGTGGCCCCATAGGGAGCTCCAACGAAGACCCCAGTGGGACCGCCCGCATGCGTCCCCAAAACCCAATCTGGCACATCCCTCACACGTTTCGTGGCCCCATAGGGCTCCACCGACGGCCCCAGGGGGACCGCCCGCATGCGTCCCCCAAACCCAATCTGGCACATCCCTCACACGTTTCGTGGCCCCATGGGGAGCTCCAACGAAGGCCCCAGTGGGACCGCCCGCATGCGTCCCCTAAACTCAATTCGGCACACCCCTCACACGTTTCGTGGCCCCATACGGAGCTCCACCGAAGGCCCCAGTGGGACCGCCCGCATGCGTCCCCCACACCCATTTCGGCACACCCCTCACACGTTTCGTGGCCCCTTCGGGAGCTGCACCGCAGGCCCCAGTGGCTGCGCTCGCACGACACCACCGCGCCCATTTCGGCATACCCCTCACACGTTTCGCGGCCCCATGGTGAGCTCCACCGCAGGCCCCAATGGCTGCGCTCGCATGACACCACCGCACCCATTTCGGCACATGGCTCACACGTTTCGTGGCCCTATAGTAGGCTCCACCGCAAGCCCCATTGGCTGCGCTCGCATGGCACCACCGCATCCACTTCGGCACACCCCCCAAGCGTTTCGTGGCCCCATAGGGAGCTCCACCGAAAGCCTCTATGGCTGCGATCGCATGGCACCACCGCACCAACTTCGGCACACCCCTCACACGTTTCGTGGCCCCATAGTAAGCTCCACCGAAGGCCCCATTGGCTGCGCTCGCATGACACCACCGCATCCATGTCGGCACACCCATCACACGTTTCGTCAACCCATGCGGAGCTCCACCGAAAGCCCCACTGGCTGCGATCGCATGGCACCACCGCGCCCATGTCGGCACACCCCTCACACGTTTCGTGGCCCCATGGGGAGCTCCACCGAAGGCCTCAGTGGCTGCGCTCGCATGACACCACCGCGCCCATGTTGGCACACCCCTCACACGTTTGGTGCCCCAGAAGGAGCTCCACCGAAGACTGTGCCAACAAATGCGTCACTCACAACTGAAT